CATCAAAAACTGCTTTATATTCATCGTTCATGCAAAATTTGTCCCTTCTTAGCAAATCAAAAGTAAAAAGTATTCATAAAAGTATTATAAAAATAGCTTTAATTTCTTGTTCTTAATAATTACTGATCTTCTTCCATCATAAGAATGGCAAAAAACATGAAAAGTCTTACCATGTACATAAATTTTTGGTTCATCATGCCTACTGAAAACATCAACTGAAACTCTTCCACCACCCCCACCGGCAAAACCATTACCTCCACAAGCACTTATTCTGCCACTTCCAGTCCTGCTCTTCACAGAACAACAGATACAATGACATTAAACCCTAATTATACCCATGTAACTATATAATGACATTAAATCCATACGTATTTATCCAAAAGAGTCAGGTTATTCAAACCAAAGACAAAGAAAATTATATCAAGAATTGCAAACACTTGAAGCATAAGAATTGGCCAGTACTACACATACATAAGACAGGATCATCAGCTTCCATGACCTTGTTCTGTTTTTTTTTTTTTTTCTAACAACACTAAAATAGAAACATCAGGCATGGCCTAAACGGAGCACAAATGATAAGAGACCCAGATCCTATTCCTACTACTAACAAATAGGGCTTAAAGCAATTTAAATCACGTAGCAACCAGCCATATTCAAAGTCAGCTATCCCAGGTGTCAACTTATGTGGCCCATTGATTACATAGGATGCTAATTGCTAATGGAGGAACCTCCAAGCTCTCCAGATTAACTCAATTGAAGGTGCATTTTACAAATCCACAAAATATATCCACAATCATTAAATGCTCGCAATAAATAGCATGCAGCATGTCCAGTGAACCAAAACTTTCCTCACAAGCAAATACAAGTGGACTTGAGGGTTTGTTTCATCAATATTCTTCACTCTAGTTAGTATGCATGCTAGGAGCAATATTAGAGCTTTAAGAGGCTTCACCAAAAGATTTGAATTCATCATCAATATCCTTCACTCATTAGTATGCATGATAGGAGCAATATTAGAGCTTTAAGAGGCTTCATCAAAGGATTTGAATTCATCATCACAACAGCCAATGCCAGCCCAAATGAACTTTCATAACTACTGTTCCATAGCCTTATGCTTTGAAATCTCTCATTTACACACTATTTTATGCCCTTGTAGTCCTCTCTAAGACAAAGAGTCTAACACAAAGAAAATTCTATGCTTACTCTTAAATAGCAGGGACACATATACAAAGGCACTTAAGTATCTAATTCCCACTACTTGGTCATCTGTTTTTCAATTACTAAACAACCATCCAACTGTGAAATCTAAATAAACCAAAGCAACACTAAACAAACTCAAAAAAACAGAGTAATCAAGAGAGAAACATTACATTTTATGAGCTTTAATATAGATGCTACCACCTGATCCACCACCTCCTTTGCTCCCTCCGTCACCCCCATCAGACAACAAGCTCCCATTCACCTCCAACAACCCTTTAATCTCCATTTTCACCCGGCCACCGCCTCCCCCTCCATAATCCACCTCCTTACTCGTCGTCCCTCCCTTACTCCCATAACTCCAAGGCTCCTGCAATGATGACCACGAATAAGCGTCTCCGCCCCAGACATCCTCCGGCAACTTCCCATCCTCCACCAAGCAACACGCACCGCGGCCCCCATGACCTCCGCCCGCTCCCTCCACCCCCTGAGGCGTCCCACTCGTCTGAGGCGGTGGGTCCCCGGCCCACCCCGTAGTGTTCACGGCGGAGCCATTGGAAAAACTAGCGTTATAAGCCGCGAGCTCGAAAGTACCAGTAACTATAGTAGAATTTTCGCCTAAAGAGAAGTTTCCGCTGATGTTTAGGGTTAGGGAACATCCCGCGGAGGGGCAAAGGAATCTAACTCCGGGGAGGATGTAAAAATTACCCTTCCCTTCTATGTACACGTCACGAGTGAGGTTCACATCGGCCACAATCTTACACGTGGAATCCAGAGAACCTACCCCGCCGAGATCTTCAGTGCAAGATACCGACGGGGCGTGAGGAGGCGGTGGAGGAGGTGCTGGCGGAGAGTAGTCTTGATGGAACAAAAGAGCTTCCGAATCCGCATCAATTACCAAAAAATCCGATTCGAGGGCCAAAGAGGAAAGAGAGATGAGGGTGGTGTAGAAGACGAAGGAGAAGAAATGGAGAAAGCAAGAGTGCAATCGAGCCATTCCCTGCTGCTGAAAGTCATTAGAATGGAGGGTTAAGATTCGGTGCCGGAGTAAATTTGTTGATTCGGGAACATACGGGAAGAACAACCGTTGAAACCACCATGAAAAACAAAGAAATAATAGACGCAATTTTACAATTATTTTGTATATTTCTGTTTGTGTCAAAATTTTATGAAATACAAAAGAAAAATGGAAACCCCTAGAAATGGTTTTCCTCTCTGACTCTCTGCAACGAAAAAAGGTCTGTAGAGAGAGAGAAAGTGCTCTTTTCACAGAGGGAGAAGAAGAGAGAGGAAGTAAAAGATGAGAGAGAGAGCGCGCTTTATTAGGGTGCAGATGAGGAGAAGACTAAAAAAATGTTCAAGCTTTAGTTAGCCTGATTGTTTCTCGAATCTTGATTGGTTACAGTTGTTTTTTTCAGTTTAAAGCCAGTCTAAAATGGTCATATAATCGGCTTATGGTAAGATTGGTTGTTCTAGATTTCTGTGAGAGTGAATGCTCTTCGAGCTTTAGTTAGAGAGCGTTTAAGCAATCTCCTGGCGCATGTTAGGTAAAAACGACGGCGTAGAATTTGTCTAGCCTTGAGATTAAATAGCTATCCCTTTCAGGCCTAACCTAATTATTAATTAAGATGGGCGTGAACTTTACGCGCGAAATATAATAGTGTGTGAAAGGCGCGTAACTTGGAGCGCAAAAACGCATCATGGTAAGCGCAGCATCAGGATTTGATTGAATTACCCGCATGGTATCTTTGCTTCGTGTGTGATTGGACCAGCAGCAAGGGGACGGTTACTGTGACTGCAAAGCGACTGTTGAAGCAGTTTTTTCTTAGCAAGAACGTAAGCCACGTGTAGTAAATCAAGCCAAGTGCAAAGCTTGCTCGAAGCAGCTCCGTTGGGAAGCTGCTTGCCCAGTGAAGAATTTTTATCGTTTGTCATTTGTTAAAAGAGTTTAATCATATATTTAAAAAATTAAAAAAAGCTACTTGCGTAACAACATCACATGTTCATTTAAATAAGAATGGATTAACTTGACATTTTAATATTATTTATATTTTATTATACAGTATTCATTTAATTAAATATATTACTATCAAAGAAAATTTTAATTAGTGTGTACCTAACCAAACACGTGATAAGAAAATTCTGCAATCAAACTTATGGATTTCCTGACCATGTAAAATAATAATTCTTCAATATTTATTTACACTAGTTACTGGTGACAGCTCATCCAAATTAAATATTGGGAAATTGGGTTATCTTGATATCATTAATGCACGGTCAATATATATGAGTTAAATATTATCATCTCATTAATAAAAAAATTAAAATTTTAATTTTTTTATAAATAAATATTTTAAATTTTAAAAATATTTATTATAAAAGATTTTAAAATTTTTAATTTTTCATATTTATGAGGTAATATTTTATAATAAATGATAGTATGTAAATATTATACAATTAAAATACATTGAATATAAATTCAATCATTAATTATTGATATAACACCTAAAATACCTTCTAAATTATTCACTAAAAATTCAAATAAGTTCTTTTTTTTTTGAAAGGCGAATATATTATGTATTCCATTTCATCAAATGAAACTTATAAAAAAGACCATATTCTGGTAATTTTTATTATTTTATTTATATATTAATTAATATTTTATATTTAATAATTTTTATAATTAATTTTTAATTAATTATTATTATTTAAAATATCACTTATTAGTTTATATAACATGATGATGACTTGATGGTATTTACCTCCCATGTCAATGTTACATCAATACCATGTAAATATAAAAATAATAAATAATATTTTAATTAATGATAATTAATAAATCAGTAATTATAAAAGTTTATATAATCTATAATAAAAATATAAAAATTTAATCAAACGTAATAAAAATTTAAATTTTTTAAATATTATATCATAATGATTAAATAAAACAATTATGTGATGAATAAAATACTTGGATTTTCAAATGGCTAAGGAAAAGATATGCCAGTGGTATTCTATTAGCCTCTGGTTTTTTTTTTTTTGTTTTCCAAAGAACAAAGAATCTTGAACCTTACTTTATGGAGTAGTGGCGAATTTAACAAATAACTAAAAGATAATGGTAATGTGGTAGAAAAATACTGTGGCAGGAAAACGAAAAATATTTGTAATTGTAAAATGAGTGGTACCCAGGAGATTGAGCTTGGGCCCATTATATTTGGATTGAACTAACTTAGCCTATTAACATTGGACAGTGGGGTACGGAAGAGTCCAAAAGAGCTTCATATCAAGCTATGGTCCAGAGACTGCCAGGATGAAGTTAGCAACATCCTTATGGACGATAGAAGATTGGGGGAGTTGCGGTATTCCACGTTTGAATTATGGATTGGATTAGAAGAAGCGGCAAAACGGTAGAAACCACAATTGCAAGAGACAGGAAAAGAGACAACAAGTTTTGACAGATTATAGAATTTCATGGTTAATTTGGAAGAAGGAGAAGGTCCAAGCTTGGTCTTCAGTCTTCACTTTCCTTTTCAAGTTCATGAAGACTTGACAGTTTGATAGTTACAATTTTTTTTCCCTCTTGTTCCATTTGGCTGAGATTGATTGTCACCATGTATATTCAATCTTTATACTCAGTTATGGAAAGGTTGCAAGGCAACAACACAAGTACAACTTACCCAAACTTCTGGTTCACTACAAAAGAAGATACAAGAATAACGAGAACTTCTTTTACCAAAAGAAGATGAATAACAATTGTCAGTCAAGGTAAAACTATTAGTTTCAGGATGTACACAATGCCTACGTGAAGACTTCAAGACAATACCATGTTGATTTTGAACCTTGTACAGTTGAATGTACATTTTCCTTCTGTTTTGGATTTTGCAAAGCTCTTTACAATTTACTCATCTATCATAGTTTTAGAGAATGCAAGTAAGTGTGTTCTCAGGCTCCAACACCGAAAACAGCCAACATGAAAGCTATTTCAAACTGTAACCCTAACTATAAATCCAAATAATGGCCTAAATTTCTGCACGTTTCTTTGTCCCTCAATTTTTCCATTGCTTTCATCTCTATCCTTCTTATCCACTCTTTGCTCACATGAAAGAGCCTCCCAATCTCCTCAAGAGACTTAGGGGGAGAGCCCTTGAGCCCATAACGTAAAACCATCACTTGCCTCTCTCTTGCATCCAAACCATTCAAAAGATCATGAATATCTTCCTTCATGTGCTGCCTCATAACAGTTTTTTCTGGGCTCCTTACTGACAAATCGGGGATAAATTCCTGCATCATCGCCCACAGTTGTTGTCAATCAAAGCATCTTAAAATTGATGCCTATAACAAGCTTGTGTTAGAGAATAAGAATGCACATGCAGATTCCGAGAAGCAATTAACTAAAGAAAAAAATCTATACCCTATCATGTAATTGTAAGGCTTTAAGTTAATGCAGGGGGGAGGAAAACAAACATGTTCTTGTCCTGTATCATCCACTTTCTAGAATGTATCCATCACACATGCACAATAACTTTATGTAAACAGAAGTTTCATAATATTAGTAATGTTAGCGTTATTTCTTTCTTGAGTCAGGACTTTTCAAGTGTACAAAGTAACACTAAAAACCCTAGTTCTCCAATCATACGCACACATGATCAAAGTTATAAGATCAAGGGACACCAAGATCTTGAACCTCAATAAGTTACGCTCTTAGTAGCATTGTAAATGCAAAGTCAACCTTCCATTTACAAAAAGAATAGTGCTACTAACAAGCAAGAAAGAGAGTGAGTTTAAGATACATATTTGTGAGAAAAACAAGAGGTGGCTTTGCCATATTAATAGATTGTGCACCTTCACCAGCATTTCTTGTCACATGCATCGTCAATTCTTGCTACTATATAGCAGACTAATCAAAGAAGTAGAGATCCAACTCAACTAAAAAGGGGGTCTCAGGGAGATCAAATAGAGAATCACTTATTATTCATAAAACCAAATGGAAACTTTACTGCCTTCTTCAGATAACCAAAACAACCTATCTGTATCTTAATCAATTACCCATTGCTAAGTTCTTAGAATGCAAGAGAGAAATAGATGAAAGTGAACTAAACAAAATGATGGCATACCAAATATTTTGCATTCATACAATCTCCAATTTTCTGGTCAATTGAACCCACAACCCTCATGCATTTATTAGCTGATCTGATTTTAGCCAAAGAAAGACCCGTGAACTTGGCAATTGCATCCTCGTCTGGGTATTTGCCATGGCTTTTGCTAAGGGCCTTTCGAGCTTTCTGTATCTGAACTATTGCCCTGCTTAACGTGCACTACGAAGAATGAACAGGAGAATAACACTTTGGTCAGGCTCCAGCATGCATTAGCATGATATCTGTGTGAAAAATATCTACCAGAGAAGAAAGCTACATACAGGAACTTGAATCCCTCGAGCATGACATGCAACTATCCTTGAAACTGATTTTCTTATCCAGAACTGTACATAGGTAGAAAATCTGTATCCCCTTGTGTGGTCAAACCGTTCAGCACCTTGTAAGACGCCTAAACTTCCTGCCTGTCAAAAACAAGAAACTTGAATGTTTGGTCAGGTGGGAAACCAAAGGAAATAGAGGACACAAAGAAGAAAAGATGCCCTGATAAATCGTGGCATGATTTCTTGCATTCTCACTGTTACCAGAACTTTATGATTTGCACAAAAATTTAAAAAAGAAAATGAAATATTTGAATATGTTAGTGACCCTGCAAAAAGGAGGGTTTTATGGTAATTCACCTACTAAGATAATCCATTTTACCAGGGAGATTCCATAAGGCAATATCATTTCTGCTTTTTGATTTAGGTAATGTAAAATTACTTCTCAATTTTAAAAAGAGAGAATGCCTACTAGTATGCCGTTTTAAATGGAAAAACACATCACAAGGATATTATATTATTATTTGGGCATACATTGCTAGTCTATAAGAACTGTATTATTTGAGAAATCAACCCACCCTTCCAAACATAATACTTCCCACAAGAAAGTTCACCCTAACCTACTAACAAATGTTGATTAGACTCCAAAACATAGAATTCTTAACATAGCCAAAGAAAAAGCTAAGCAACCACATCTGTTATTCAGGCAAGATCTTCTCCGAAAATTACATGTATATGAGCAAATTGATAGGAATAGAAATTGAAAAAAGCATTATATGAAACAACCAAACATATTGAAAAAGTCTGACCAACCTGGATTAAATCTTCATGGGCTATTCCCAGACCTCTATAGTTCCTTGCAAAGTAGAGGACTAAAGAGCGAGTACTCCTTAGTAGCTCATCTCTGCAATACCAACCAAAATGCAAATGCTGCTGCAGCACCTTCTCATTAACTCCGGCTGCTTCTGCCCAGCAACTCAAGCTCGCCGCTCTACCCGTTTCCTCTTCTAAAGTTGTTCTAATTCTCTCCAAGTTTGCAACCACCTGCTCGGGAAAGTGTAGAGCGGTCAAAGATTTCCTTAAGATGTGACTAAAGAATATGCATTCCAAATACTAAACTTTTAAGACAACCTTCACTCCCTTCGACATTTCTGCTTCATTTCTAGCAATTCTCAATCTTTTACTTCTAGAGTCTTTCACTCTTTTTGCAGAAGACACTTTGGGCTTTTGAAAGCGTCCATGCAGGGTGTTCAATGGCGGCAATTGGGTAGAAATTATAGTGGGGTTTTCTAGTGCCCTTTCTCTTATCTTTTTGCGTTGTTTCTTTTTCCTAGAGCAAACAGCAATTTTATCCTTTTGACCATCCACTGAGAGATTCAAATTACAATCTCCACTATTAGCAGGAACATCAGATAGGTCCAAAATTTCTGACGCTTTAAGAGTCCTAGAGAGACAGGTGTTGAATAATTTCAGAGCTCCAAGCCTTCCTAGTTGCAGTAGAATTTCCCTCTCCAATGTTAACACATCTGAATCAGCAAATGTCTCCTCTAAAATGTCGAGATTCTCCATTAGCAAACTATAATGTGAAGCCTTGCATGCTTGTGGGCTTGTGCGAGAGGAAGATTTGTCCCCTCCAATTAGTTCATGAGTTTTATCAATCATAGTAAGTGAATGACTGTGCGAGTGTGATCCCTTCCCAATGTTTACCTGGATGAAAAAGATTCAGAATAAGTATGAGACACTCGAGAGTGAAAATGATTGATATGGACAATGGACAGTTATGCAACTTAGTAGAAACAATTGATATAACACCACACCTTCATTTCTTCAATTTCCAAGCAACCATTTTCTAATGTTTGCAGAGCTGCGGATGAAGCATATGCTTTCAGAGAATCTTTTAATGGAAGCACACCTTCATCAGAAATTAGGACAATGTGAGTGAATAAAACCAAAAAAAAAAAAAAATCTACAACAAACCAAATACAAGCAAATCATATATAAGCAAAGCATAAGACCACAGATGTGAGTTTGGAAATAAAGCATAGTAAAAGCAACGATCTTGAATGGCTTGTAATTTAACAGAAAGCAACCAACTTTCCAATTTGAAGTTAATTTTAGGACAACCCATATTTGGCACTCCTACATGGATGATAACCTCGACCTTTAGCTTCAATTAACATAAATATAAGGCAACAAAACAAATTCAACTAGGAAGTTAACAGACAGTTTAACAATCAACTCACTCTAGCCAATGTCATCTAATATATATAATAGTGAACGCTTATTTAACTTTCTTTTCTGGCAGAGCAAGAACGAAAGGTGGATTTGAAATCTATTTGAACTCACCAGAAGAAGGGAGCCTGGAAGGTGAATTGGCAAGAAAATGAGAGGGAACTGGGAAAACCCCCTTGAGATTCAGCCTGAAACCCATTGGACCCCAGAGAGCAGAGACACAGTGCCCATCAAATCCTCATGAACTTGTCAGACTTATAAGTTGATAGCCAAAACAAAAAAAAAAAAAAAAGGAAAAAGTATGTTACCAAGTGAACAATCATTGAATGTTATATTATATGTGTTCTCACACCTGAGCCACCGGTTCTTCATCTGCAAAACTTGTGTCAACGACAGTTTCACCCTTTTGTGTTATGACATAAGTGCCCAATATCCCGAATTGCCTTTCCCACCAGAAAAGAAAAAAATAAGTTAAATATCTTAATAAGTTCTTGAATTATGTTAAAAAAGTCAATTCAATTTTTATCTTTTTATTTCATTCAAATAAATCTTTTAATTTTTATTTCAGATCAATAAACTCCTCCACTTAACTGTGACTAATTTTTATTAATTAACGATATATGTAGTATTTTTATATTATATTATTTATCACGTGATAATTGATGTGACATTAAATATTATTAATTAAAATTTATAAATTTTAATCAATAATATTTAATGTCACGATAATAGATGATATAGTATAAAAGTGTCATATATATTGTTAACTAATCTAAGTCAATTAATGATTAACGAGAAATACTTATTTGATCTAAAATAGAAGTTTAGAGGTTTATTTGAAAGTAAAAAAAAGACGGGGGGTTGAATTGTTTTTTTAACATAATTCAAGATTTATTTAGATATTTAATAAAAAAATAATAGTAAAAAAAAATGAAAACGACTGTACCTGGATTTGGGTCTGCTACACAGCCGCATGTGAAGTGCAACATCTGGTCTGGTCTGTCAGAATTGGGCTTTGTTTCTTCTGTTAGAGAACTTGGCTGTGGCCCAACCCATGTTTGTTGTATCAAGCCCAACATGCTTGCTCCTCTGAGCAACAAGTAGTCGAATGCCAGTATTATTTGATGATTAATTTTGTTTTCACTAAAATAACACAGAAACCAATATATGAAAGGCAAACAGATGACAAGGATACGGAGAATAAAATTAAAAGTTATGAGATGATGTCGTCAAAGCACAATCCAAGCAAAGAAAAGCTGCAATCAGCCTTGTACTTCTTCAACTGTTAAAGAGAAAATCCTTGCAGCCCGACGGATTCCTTTTAGTCTATTTCCCTTCTTATCAGCATAACTTCCTACCAAGCGTGGTGGCCCCAGTTTGTGTTCCAGCTTCCTCTTTCCCACATAATAGATTGACCTTTTAGTTGAATTCTTCCAAATTTTTACTAACTTATTTCCTTCTAAGGAAAATTTCTTCTCAAGTCTAGCAGAATCAGACCCAGATCTTAACCTGATAGCAAATCTTGGTGACATATCCTGGCTTGTACATTTAAAAGTGGCTTCACCCTTATCTAAGTCAATGAATTTCTCCCATCCCTCTTGTTTGATGTCATCAGCAGTTTTATGTCTCTTCATTTGTTGTTCCTCAACGGTGGTTGTTGCCGTCAGCAGCCCTTTCTCCTTAATTTAAGGAACATCATTGACTGAAGAACCACTGCTTGCAGCACTTTGAACCGTTTGAGACGAATTTTGCCACGAAAAAAATTCCGTGTCTCGAGAAAATTGTCCTTCCTGGCACTGTTGCGCAGCTTGAAGGTCTTTTAACAGAGAAGGGAAATATATAGAGATTACTATTTGTAAAAACTGGATGGGGAGGGGACCGACACCAAGATATTGAGTGACCATTCTTGCTACACTGCAAGCAAACACTGAATTCCTTCTCATGTTCGAACTGTATGCATGGTAACACGGACATTCCTGATTCCTCCTCACTGATAAACCTTATGGTGCAAAATCTCTTTAAGCCGAGATGAGTTTATCAAGGCCTCTTTTGAAACAAGGAGATTGTCCTTTTTCGTGTAGTGATCGACCTCGACTTCTGCTTTATGATGTTCATTTTCTGATCCATTTGTTCAATTGGCTTCTTGTGCAACTTTGAGTTCTCTACTTCCAGCATTTCTTCTCGCTTAGGGATCATCTCCTCATTTTCAGCCCACAACTTTTCATTCTCCTTTTGCAGTTCAATATTTGGAGCTTGATCCCTGAGTTAGAATATGAGAGGTTATCCTTGTTACAAAAAATTGAGTGCATATTCTCACTGATGCACGTTTCTGGTGACGATATGTTCGTATGATATATTCGGAAATTTTATGGACCACTTAACTTTTACTTAACCTTTACAGCTACAAAGTCTTCACCATGCAGAAGCCTGCACATTTGCAGGCAAGCTCTTGCTTCAGTGCTGCCGCATTCACATTCTAATTTCCATCTTAACTTCGTTTGACTCCATTAAACCATGCACCATTAGTAGGCTCCTGCTACCATGGACTATTAGCAGGCTCCTGGTAACAGTTTCCACGGTGACTGAACATGGGGACTTAATTTTGAAAGGCCGTGGATCATTGGCTTCATGAAAGCTCCAACCCAAACAAAATGCTAACAGAGATGGCATCCTGGTCCAACATTTGCAATATGATGGAAAACTTTGCTTATTGTTTTAAACCTCTTGCTTGTGCAACTAATTGAAGATAGACTCTTAATCCCAAGGTTACCTTCTCCACGTGCCATTAGGCTACATAATCACCAGGTGATAATCTGAATTTTTGGGATGCAATATTTTTGTTTTTGTAGTACTACTTAGCAGCATATTAGTGGCAGTGCATGCCCCATCTCAATGAATGATTGGCCATCATTTTCTGCATGGAACAACCCCATGGAATCAAGCAAAATCCAAACCGATGACTCCCAGTTTTCCCTGGTCAGAACCACTCCACCAATTTTAAAAATCATTGTCGTTCCACTATGAGAAGACGCCACTTCTTTTGCTTTCCATCTCTCTTGGCGATAAATACCAACTTGCTAACGTCAATGGCTGTGCTTAAATATTTCTTTAAGTTTTTGTCTTATCTACTTATTACTTGTATAGAAATCAGTTACTTGGACATTGAATTCAAATTCACCAAACTTTTCCTTCCTCCTGCCAAGTTCCACTCGCTTAAATGAAAAAAGAAAAAACAAATGAACATTAATAAATCGCGTAGGGTTGAGCTTAATAAGGGAGAACCATCAAATAAACCCTCCAACAACTCCATTTTAACCTACAACCTCCATATGCCAGTGGGCTCTAACTACATTATGGGCACAATTTAGGGAAAGTGTATACTATCTTGGGGGGGTTAGGGTGGGATCCTGGGCCATGTCTTCTCTTCCCCTAGTTGCCCAAAACAATCGTATTGACCTATTAATAGTAAAGTTGAAAAAACCTACGCGGGTTTCCCAAGCCCACAGTTCTTAAACCAAGACCAACAAGAGCCACTCCTCTTTTAAATGAACTGGAAAAGGGAAATTAAAATGAAAGGAACCCATTTGAATACTGCCATTCCTTTTTGTTTTATGTTCCACTTTGGGGGGTTATGCGCTTGACAGGATTGCAGAAAACGCGGTCCGAGGAGATTTTTCAATGGGACAAGTCCATGGATTCACGATAATCTTAACCTAAATTAGTACATCATTAACTATTGTTTTTGGCAACTGTTTTGTGACAGGGACAACCTAACCCATGACTTTTCATGAAATGACTATCTACTTAATAGGGAGATTTGGGATTAACTGCTTCAGGAAAAGCTCTGAATAATGCAAGTGGGTTTTAAATAAATATTTTTTCTTTGGCTACTTTCTCTCCGAAAATACCCTTTTAAGATTCAAGCAAGCTGAATGAGTTTTCATCCTCATCCAAAACTAATCATGAGTCAAATAAGATGCTTCTGCAAGAAAAAAGGTTCCTCACTCTTTGTCTGTCAAGCAAAGGGTTCCCGCACAGTACAACCTGCATGACTAAAATATTAAGTAGAATATAACAACTTAAATAGAGAGGAAAAAAAAAGATGAAACATCTTTTAGAAAAATACAAGTTACATACTTATATTCCTTTAAGAATGAAATTTGGCCTTTCAAAAAAAAATGAAATTTGAATTTTATAAATCAAAGAGACGTAACCAATTTTATAAAATTTTTTTAAAATTTAAATTTAAAATCTTTAAACTAAATACTTAATTCTCACTTTTAAAATGTACCTTTTCAAGATAAATATTTAAAACATGGTTTAGACTTATGATATTGCTTTTGATGAGTATTAAAAGAAAAAAAGTATTTTTAAAATTAATTTTTTAGACTTAATTATCAATAAAAAACTGTTTTAAATGTTGATTAATATGGTTATTATTTAAAAAAATTTAATGTTATTAATTAATATCGATAAAAACATTGAATATTGACGAATATTGCTAATATAAAAAAAAACATTCATGTATAGACATTCATGTATATATTGTTTTAGGTGTTGGCGACAAAGATGTGCAAAGTAGGGAGATCCCCGTCCGAGCACCGCATCCGAAGAAAGCCCTTGTGGATAATCTTAAAGCTGATAATACCAAAACAAAAAGGAAAAATGAAAAAACATAGAACAGTAAAAAGCAAAGTCAAGATCATGGAGATCTCGAGAGATCAAAAGCATAGGCAATAATCCATATCGTAGGCCACGCGTATTCATCTCCTTGATGGGGTGTCAGTCGCAGGACTAAGCTTATCACCGCCAGCTCACTGTGCCACCAACCACGTGTACCATCGGTTTGACCCGGGGTGGTTCTTGTCACGTGATCGCTCTTACGTGTCACCGTACGGACCCTGCAGATGGGATATTTATTCGTACGGATCATGTGCTCCGTTCTTTTGTCGGTTTGCGATTCTGTCCCTGATTTGAACGTGGTGCCATCACAGCCGTTCATTTCCATAGATCGAGGAAATTTGGATTTTAGTATCCCGTACGTGTACTTACCAGTTACCGCTTCAATATCAGCCGTATATTACTAAATCCTCTCTCAACCAAAAGTATGGGTTAGGAATTACGAGTAAGTGCCCTCCGAAATCAATCCAATTTGTTCAGATTGCAATTTTTGTATTTACTTTCCAATTAATTAGCCAATCAATTTTACTATTGAATTTAATTTTTAACATTATATTTTGAGTCGAGACTTGAGAGCGTTTTATTTAAAATAATTAATTTGATAAAATAAAATAAAAAACCCAAGATTAAAGAAATGGTTAAAATGCCTGGCCTAGAAAAAAGACAAAGGATTGGCTAAAATGTTAAAATGGTAAAAAACAGCACGAGCTCGCCGCGCCACCTTTGCTCAGTAAGAAATAAGAAATGCTAGAAATCCACCTGAAACCAAAACATTGAACGTCACCGTCGATTTGAAAACAGGATAAGGAAATTTGCTTGCTTGGCAGACGGAGGCTCCGCCATGGAAATATCTGCCACCCAAGTGTACATTAGCGTAACGTAATGTAAACTTGCTAAAGTGCGCGGAGGTCTCCGTGTCACTGCCGCTAAGCTTGGCGGGTTCTTAACTGCCAAGTAGTTCTTCGCTTTGCAGAGACTTAATGACGCGTGGATGGAATGCACAGGCCCGAATAATCAGCCCATACGCGCATGGCTGCCACTCTCTGCATTCCGTCCACGTGTCAATAAACCTCTTGATCCACCAGAATCGAATATATCTTGGCATTTCTCGCTAAATTATCGTATTAATAGCTTCGAAACTTCGAGATTCAGCTTCGAAGTTATTAGTAATTTCATTCCAACAACTTTCAAAACTTCCTTTAACTGCGGTTAAATATAAACTAAAACTCACGACATTTTATTTAAACTAAAACTCACGATATTTTATTTTTTACTATTATTCCGCGATAAGTGACAACTCCCCTCAAAATATCCCCAACCCGAAGGGAACCAAGCAATCAGTTTTCAATACACAAAGACAAATGATAGAATCACCGACGGTGAAGCATTTTACCACAGCCAATCACAAAGAGATAAGCACAAATCGCTAATTTCCCCGGGTCCCACTGACGCCAACAGTAAAGACTAAAACCTAATAACTTACAATCAACGGCCACGATAAGCCCATGACATAGAATTGTCACACCGTCACATCCACCGTATTTTTAACCGTAGAAAGTAGGGAAGCGGAGGCGGTAGAGTTTTTAACTCAACCATGGTTAACTCGTAACAACTTCGGGTTAAAAAAGCAGTTTATAATGAAGAGAACCGCTGCTCCTCTTAGAATCAGAGAACGATGTCCAAAAATGATGATCGGAGAACCAACCCGACCAAATCCCACCGTCAAAATCCCAGCGTGGGACCCATTCAACGATCCGTCGGCTAACTTTCCTTCCGTTAACTACAACTGTAATGCACCAAACAGTCCTTGCCCCGTCGACTACCTCACGTCCCTCCACCGTTACCTACCGTCAAACGACTTCGAGTCTGACTCGCTGAGTGATGATTCCGACTTACCGGTCGACGCATTCTCATGCGACCATTTCCGTATGTACGAGTTCAAAGTGAGGAGGTGCGCGCGTGGGAGGTCACATGACTGGACTGAGTGTCCGTACGCCCACCCTGGCGAGAAAGCCCGAAGAAGAGACCCGAGAAAGTTCCATTACTCTGGAACTGCTTGCCCTGATTTTCGCAAGGGAAACTGTAAGAAAGGCGATTCCTGTGAGTTTGCGCATGGCGTTTTTGAGTGTTGGCTCCATCCTGCTCGTTACCGTACTCAGCCTTGCAAAGATGGTACCAGTTGTAAAAGAAGGGTTTGCTTTTTCGCTCACACGCCGGAGCAGCTTCGGGTCTTGCCCCAGCAGAGTCCGAGAGGAAATGGGGCCGGTTCGGGTGATTTGGATTATCTTGGATCACCCATACGCCATCGTCTGGACTTTGTTTCTTCACCAACTTCCATCCTGGCTTCTCCTCCAATATCCCCGCCTTCTGATTCACCCCCTATGTCACCATGTGGGTCATTTAACTCTGCGAGTGAACTTGCTGCTTCCATGCGTAATCTGCAGCTTGGTAAGGCAAAAATGACCGGTGCTTGTTCTTGGGGTCTGCAAATGGGATCAGGTTTCGGTTCTCCTCGGGGCTCCACGCTCCGATCCTCGTTTTGCAGCTCTCCTTCGACTCCAACTCGGACACCTACCCGTTCTGGTCTAGGTCAGTTTGACCTCTGGGAATACAATGCTTTTGAAGAGGAACCGGCAATGGAGAGAGTGGAGTCTGGGAGAGACTTAAGGGCAAGGATGTATGCAAAGCTGAGTAAGGAAAATTCTCTGGACCGACTTGATCCAACCGGGTCGGGTCCTGATGTTGGATGGGTATCTGAGTTGGTGAAGTGAATCTTGTCCTTTGGAATGGACTGGATGGTGGGGAATGGGGACTCAGCTTCTGTTTTGATTTATTTTGGGAAATTTCAAGAAAAAATCGGTGGCCTGTGATTCTTCTGACTTTGTGAATATTGATGATCGATGTTTCTGATTTGGATAATTTGCACTGTAAATAGACGACGGGGAAAGAGAGATCGGAAAAGTCTCTATTTTGTGGTGCACTGCTTCTTTTCTTGTAAGTTTTGTTAATTGGGAAAAAAAGAAATTGCAACCTTTGTATAGACAAGAAGGATTTATAAGGGCTGCCGAAAGAATGGGTAGCGGTTTGTTTCTCATTTTGTCTATTATGAATCGTAATTTCCTTTTCATTTCTTCCGGATTATCTCTGTAATTTCTATTATCATGGCTAATCAATGTAATATATTTCTGCATCCTCTGTTTTTTTTTTTTCTCTTCTACAATTCTTTTCGCTTGATTTGGATGATACGATAATATTATTGTTAGTAGATTGGAGCGTTTTTCCCATAAAAAAAGATTTGTATTCAATATATCTTTTTCCTGATCAAGTT